TTTGCTCATTTTATTTTGTTTGGTCCTCATGACAGCCTGTGAGGCAGGTGGCTTTTGGTCTTTCAAGACATATTTACTAAGCACCTACTATGTGCTCAGCCCTAGGGAGACGGGTTGTCTTGGTCGAGTTCTCCAGAAGCAGATCCTAAGACGCGGCTGTGACTGCGTGTAGTTATGGAGGATCTGAAGGGAGTAGGGGAGGGATGAGAAGGCAAAATACACGGCGTCTCGTCAAGCCGGCCATGTCTTAATCCCATGTGGAGAAATCTCAAACCAGGGCAACCAGCCCACAGGTTTTTCACGTGATCACAGCGATCTAAGGTATTTCTGTACCGGCTCTCATTGGCCGCTGCTCCCTGGGGGTTAACCCTCAGCGCTTCGCCTTGACCTGCAGCTGGCAGCTACCCGAGAGCCCCCAGGCCAAGCCGAGCAGAGGTGGCAGCGGGGAGCCGGGCTGTGTGCGCTGACACGCCCGGGGCACCCACACTACCTACGCCAGGGCGAGCCAGGAGGAGGAGACCCCGACTTCTGCGAGCTCACGCCACACAGAAGTCGCCCAGGGCCCCCTGCTAGGTCAGCCGCAGCCTGGACTCCTGGTTCCTTCCACTTGGCTGTCCCGGGTCCCCTCCATTGTCCAAGGGGAAGGGAAAGGGCTGTCACGTTCTCAGGGGCGCAGGGACGCTGGCGAAAGCCATCCCAGCGCTCAGGACTGAGCCTCCCGTCCGTCCCCTCCAGAGGAAATGCAAGTGTCAGCCCCAGGGCAGAATCCTGAGGCATACTTGGCTTTTATAAACAGAGATAAATGGAGCTGGACACGGGGCTCGCCTGCCTGGACGTGCTGTCTGCACCCGCCCTGACAGGGAGAGCTTTCACACCTCAAAGGCGCCTCCATGAATAGACCCATCATTATACCCGCGCCTGGGAACCTGGGAACCTTTGCGATTCTTTGAAAAGCTTCGGCCTGGTTTTCACTCATTGTGTCTCCCTCCGGGACTGCAAAATGAGGCAGCATCCTCGGCGGGTGGGCACAGCCTACTGAAGGAGGCATCCCGGAGCAGGTCAAATCCCCGTGCAGCCCGCCTGCCTGCCCGCCCAGCCCGGAGCTGCTGAGGCTCTGCTCCCCAGTGCCGCGTCTAGAAAACCCCGGGCGCCAGGCGTGGCGGGCAGCACCCCCTTTAACTCCTTCCCTTCCTACAGTTTCCAGATCATTTA